GATAAATCACAGAGAAAAAATGTGACAATGAGTGTGTATATGTCCATGAATGACTGAAAAATTGTGCTGAACACTGGAATTTGACACAACACTGTAAAATGATTATGAATCAAAAAATGTAAAAAAAAAGAATTTTAAGGGTGGGTAACAATCACGTGTTTTAGAAAGCTCACTGTGGCAGCCGTGTGGAGAATGGATTGATGAGAAGTGTAGGGCCAAGTGAGAGGCCATTGCAAAGCATCTAAATGAAAGCTGAGTTCACAGCTCGGGGGATAGAGAACAACGGGCGGATCGCAGGGAAACTGAAGAGATAGAACCGAAGACTGGGTGAGTTAATGGATGTGTGTGGATGGAGGAGTCAGCCGGAGAAGCGTGGAGCATGAGGAGTCGTGAATGACCCACAAGACTAGCTGGGTGCATAGTGGTGCCCTGTGAGGAAAACACCCTCTAGAAGCAGTAAGTATGAATCTTGGCCAAGGATGAGCAGTACTGACTCTGTGTTCAAAATAATAAAAATGAATTAGCATTTGCTCACGAATCTGTACAGTGATCTCATAGTCATCATCACCATCAAATAGCTATATGGCATGCTTTATAATTTATCAGTGCTATGATGAAACTTGTTTCATTTGATCCTGGATATTCTTCCATGTTACAAATTAGAAACTCGAATAAAGTTTAAATTACTTTCTCAAGCTCTCTTATCTAGAAACTACAGTGGTGATACTAAAACACTATCATTCTAACACGAAGACCACTATGGTGCAGTGTATTATTTGGTAGAATTACCATCATTATGATTACCATCAATGATCAGTCTGTTGAAAGTTCTGTTTGTTCTAGAGACTCTTGATCAGCACTCGTGGTATGATTTAATCTTGACAACCCCCCTCATGAAGTCAGTATTATTATCCACATTTTACAAATGAAGAAATTGAGATTCAGAGAGATTAAGTATTTCCTAAGGTCACATAGATGTTAAAAGGCAAAAATGAGGTAAGATTCCCCAAACCTGATGTTGCAGGCAGTACTTACAACTCTGATGCCAATCTGTCCCAGTACCATCTAAGAAGCATTCTTGTGGCCATAGTTCCTTGACAAACAGTATATAGGTGAAAGATTTACTGCATCCACTGTCTGGTCATTAATTTGGAATTTTGGTTCATGTTAATAGCAGACCTTCATATAATCAATCATACTGAGAGTGTGGTAACTAGCACCAACTGTTAAGGCCAAATAACTCATCTTACTTTGCTTTGGATCACATAAACATTCTGTCCATCTGCAAGATGTAAATAACTATAAGCTAATTATACTAGTCAGAATAAGCCATTATGTTGCTACAACCAATTATTGCCAAATCTCTTTAAATGGTAAGAAGTTATTTCTCATTCACATTACATGTTCATTACAGGATAGCAGGTGTCCCTGCTCCCTGTTGTTTTGACTCAGAGACCAGACTCCATCATCAGGAATGTTGTTGGTCAATAAGGCAGGAGGGAAGTACAACTGGGGAATCATGCGCCGATCCTTAAATGCCAGGTAGAAGTGACACATGTCACCTCCACTCCATTTTATTTGCTAAAATGTCACATGGCCACACCCAACTTAAAAGATCAGAGAAATATAATCTTACCATTTGCTTGAAACTAGAAATATATTACTCTAGGAAGTCCTGACTATCCCAGATATTAATCAATTTCATGATGAAAGAGTTTTCAAGGGCCAAAAAAAAAAAAAGGGAAAACACGAAATTAAACAAAGAAATTTCCTAACTATGTCTTCTCTGAGTCTTTACTATATTAATATGCATTATTAATCTCCAAGAAAGGAACTATTACTATGGCATAATTTTCTCCCCAGAGATCATCTGTAAAGACTCATATCCTGAAGACACTTCAAGAAACAGTACTCTGAAGCTCTGCCTTTTAAAACTTATTTCTAAAGGGGAAATATGTAGAAAGAGGAGAGAAAAGAAAAAAGCCTAGAGTAGTGCAAATTTATGGATAGTTTTGAGACCAAGAGTTCTGTATAAAAGACATTCATAGTAGCTAGTAGCAACCAAAAAGTACATTTTTTCTAATCTCTTGCAATATGACATTGCTAACATATTGAGTATTTATGAAGCACCACATATGATGCTAGGTGCTTTACTTATGGTCTCTCATTCCATCTTCACGACAACATAAAATGCAGACTATTACCTCCTCACAGACGAGGACACTAAAACTCAGAGATGACATTACATGTTCAAAGCCATACAGACAGTAACCTGAGTTACAGACTAGTTGAGGAGAAAAACGTCATGTTAACCTCCAAACAAAAGGATCCAGTGCTGCAGTTAGAGGTATAGACACCACGCTGTTGTTGGTCAAGGGGCGGGAAGGTTAATTTTGGTTATCCTCTCGTTGGACCCTGAACCAAGTACGTGGAAGCAGTGATATTCGGGTGTCTGAGTGGACAGCCTGAAATGCCAAGCTGTTTGAACTTTATTCTCCGGGTAATGACAAGCCCCTGAAAGTTTTTGAGGTGGGAGTAACAGAATCAGACAATTATTAACAAAGACTTGGAATTTCAAGTTCAAAGGAGCCCTGAAGTAATTCAACCCAATTCAATTCATAAATGGGGAAGATAAAGCCCCTACATTTGAGGCTCTGCAGCTGGACTTCCATTACTGGCCTTTCAACCAGGTGACTGATGTGGATGATCAGCTTGCCCCCATTTGGTCACAAGCTGAGCTCAGGTCTCGCTGGCCTCTCGTTTGCATCCTAAATTAATGAGTCCTGATGGGGCCTTAAGAGATAACAGAAAAGGGGGATATTTTGAGCCTCGGGAGATCAAGTCAGGGTGATATCAGGATCAGAGGTAACAGAGTGTATTTAATGTCTAGGGTAGGGGTCATTCCTTGGCTGAATACTTCTCTCTCGGGTTTTGCAGAAGCCCAGTACATAGCCACTGACCACAGCTTTACTGCAGTGCTGTGTTAAAACTGGCATTATCAAGTTGGGCAGTGTAAGTCTCCAAAGAAGAAAAGAAGTTGGTAAAAAATGGCTGACTAATTGCTGATGTTGTCAGTGTGCTAGACTTGATCATGCAGATGTCCCTCTGGCAATGATGAATGATACAGATTCACCTGCAATTTTGACCCCTGAAAAAACAAGGTAGATCTGTCTGATGTCAAAACTGCTCCTATTCCTTTGGTAACTTTCTTAGCAAATGAGTGTCCTACCCACCAGCTGTGCAAGCCAGAAACCTAAGTACCACTTTTGGCTGCTCTGCCCCTTGCCCCGATACCCAACCAGTACCATGTCCTTCTGTTTTCTGAATGCCCAATTGCCCCATCCTCTCTACCATGACCACCATCAGGCCACCATCATATCTCATCTAAAATAATGCAAAAGCCTTTCTCTGTTTCTCCTGCCTCAAATGTTGACTCCTCTTAATCCATTCTTCATACTGCAGCCAGAGAGATAAAGAAAGCATCAATTCTTTGAAATAATATGTCTATTGTCCAGAGTCAGAAATGTTTTCAATGACAGCATAGATTATTTTGTTCTGTTTTCTAGCTTCCCTTCAGAAGAACAGCGATGTCATAAGTATTATGGGTGAAATGATCTCGATCCACAGGCTCAAGTGATTTTTTTTTCAACCAGAGATCACGAGGATTCAACAAAATCAACCAAATAATTATTTGTCCAACTTGCAAAAAGGTGGGACAGTAATTCTTTAAGCTCTCCAACTTTAGAATTTTCAGTGTGGATAAAAGCTTTGCAAGGCCTAGTGCTTTCAAGAAGGTTTACTGGAAGAGAAATTTCATCATTCAGCTGTTTGAGATTATGGATTCAGCTTTTTATTATAAAAATATGTATCAATAAAGGCAGGCCTAAGTTATAGGTGAAGGATAAAAAGGAAGATTCTAGTCAGATAAATTCTCCTGAATTCTAAAGGAAAGTTATCTTTTCCACTTTGGATGGTGAAGAAAGAAAGTAATCAATAATTATTGACTATTTTTTCGCGCAGGACACACATTATCTCATCAGCTCTAGGAAGCAGTTACTCTCATCAGCACACTTTTACAGAGAAGGATGCTTGGGGATGTTCAATATCTTGATTCAGATTCTAGATCTGGTAAGTGGGAAACTAGGATTCAGGCCGAAAACATGAGAACCTGTATACGTAATCATGCCTTCTCATTGCTTTAAAATAGATGGTGCTTTCAATACTTACAAAAGCCCTTGTGATTTAGGTTTTCCCATTCTACAGATGTGACTATTGAGGCTTAAGATATTTAAAACTTGCCCAATGTCACTCAGTAAGTGCTAAGGCTGACACTGAAACTCACAATTGCCTACTTTCAGCATGCATGTGTTTTCCATGTCTTCCAAGATGGTGTTCTGTTCGTTGTCCCACGGATGCAGCTAATAGTCAGTGATGGTGTTCAGAAGTGACTGAATAACTAGCAATAATCATAAAAGCTCATTTTCAAAACTTCATGGTGTCACCTATGTGCTTAGCAAATATTGTTAAAATGAGGTATTGACCAATAAAATGTCAGGAAAGTTAGTATAAATTGGCCAAGAGTGGGAGGGTAACTTCAAAACTTGATTTGGCAATATTCACCCTATCAGACTCTCACTCAATCCTCAGCAAAATGAGGGGTTTCATTTTTACTTTATTTCTCTTCTCTGTCCTGCTTGCCATCTCAGAGGCGAGGGGTGAAGAGTCAATGAAGCTCTGCGGGCTTGAATACGTAAGGACAGTCATCTACATCTGTGCCAGCTCCAGATGGAGAAGGCATCGGGGGCCCCCCCGCAAGTTCAGCAAGGTAACATGAACACATCTGACTCTGTTTCTCTAACTACTGCTAAGACACCTCTATGTCAATCTGGGGGGTTAATTATCAAAATAAACTTAATTTGGCTTGGGAAAGTGATGGGCTTGCTACCTTTCAAAAAAAATAAGAACCTTGTTTTCTTCAGTCCCCAGCTTGAAATCATTTGCTTGCATAACTACTTCGATGAGCTCAGCATCGATGGAGGGTGCTGGGGGCGGGGATGGGTGGGTAGAGAGAAGCACGCGATTTCAAGAGACCTGTTGGAGGAGGAAGATTTTCAGACATGGATAATTACAGAATATAATAAATTTGGATGCAGGCAGGTGCTAAGTAAGAATGGAAGGAAGGAATCTAACTTTTACTGAGCACTTATTACGTGCCAGGCTGTTTCATGTGCAACATTTCCTTCAGTCTTCTGATAAGGAGCCTGTGAGGTAAGTATTATTACCATCATTGACCATTTTACTGAGGATAAAATTGTTCACCCAGCTAGTAAGCAGTGTGCCTGGGAAGCAAACCAGGTCTTCCTGGCTTCTGAAGCCGAAGTCTTCTGCTTGTTTCGTACTGTGTCTCAGGTGGGGAAAGATGGTGGTAGAATGTTGTGATAAATGACAGCACTGGGAGGGGTGGTATTTGACAGAGGACATAAGAATGTGTAGGATTTGGCGGTGATAAAGGGTGGGGTGAGAATTCTAGCGATAGGGACGGTCTGATCAGAATTTTGAAGGTGGGAGTGGACCTATTGTGTTTCAGAAACAGTGAGGGGACTGACTTCACTGTGTTTCTTCATCTTCCAATTCAAGTAACTGAGAAATTTGGCATTTTTTCTGCTAATCCTATATTAAAGTGTGAGGTAGAATTTATTTAAGATTCTACTTTAATAATTGTTTGTGTTTGTTACGTTTTATAATAAAAAGTAAAAAAAAGAAAAAACATATTTACATAATAAATGTTGCAAGCACACATAAGATATGAAAAATTTACAGGTTTCAATTTGGTTTAAAATGACTTTGGTAAACAAAAATATTTTGGGGAAATGACCCACGGTTTTTGTATTTTGGTGGGCTGTCTTGAAAAATTATGACTTTACCACTTTCACTTTAATAATGAAAGGTTCATAGTTACTAAATGTTAATAAATACTGAGGGTTTTTAATCTCAAGAGAGTAAGCGTAACTTACCAGATTTACCATAACTGATTTAGCAAATCAAAATCACTAGAAAAATTATGTTTGGAGTGTATCTTTAAATCATGGGGCAGTGGAATGGATGTCTGTAAGGCTATCAGTGGAAAGGCAATCTCTTTTGACACCACTGACTTCATATTACTATCAGTTTAACCTCACACAAGTTTTCAGAGTATTTTCCCCATACACTATTTATTTGATCCATTACTGGTTTACTAATCAGCCTTCATTCATCTAAATTCTTCTGGTGCTTGTCAGCGTGCTAAGGTGCAGATAAGGAAGTCTGAATGAAGTCAAAGTAAGAGAGTCTTATACATGGACTTTGGAAACAACACTGATAAAAACTGTGGGTCTTGCTTTTAATTCTCAGACATAGAGGCTTAAATTTCCACTTCCTTCCTTACTGATCAGTTTGCAGGGCATACACAGGGTTATTTTTTGTTTGTTTTTTTGTTGTTAGCATAACTAATATCTTTGGAAGCAGCTGGTCACCGTGCAAAGGTAGCCAGTACAACAGAAGTCAAGCCCTAACTTGGCTGCTAACTAGCCAAGTGACACTGGTTATGTCACTCCTCTGTACCCCATGTTTCCTCCTCTGTAAGATGAGGAGGGTGGAGAAGACTGAGTTCCCCTTAAAATATCTCATCTCTGTCTCAGAAATCCCAGATATTAGGGAAAAAAAATGTGCAGGAGTCAATGTCCTTTCAGGAACCCAATACATTTCTCCTCAACGTATAACTTGGTTGCTGCCTCTGTGAGGGACCTCTAAGGAAGTTTGCTTTTTCTCTCCCGTACAGCTGAGAGAGGAGACCACTTGCAGCTGCCAAGGGAACATGAGATTTCTGAGGGACGCATAGTGCAAAACGTTCCGAAGATGGATTCCTTGGGGATGGAAGGTCTTCAGGGCGGACAGCTGCCCATGGAAGGGCTCTGGAGGTCAAAGAAGCACTCGGTGATGCCAAGACAAGACTTACAAATGTTGTGCTGCACTGAAGGCTGTTCCATGTCTGATCTGAGTGCGCTTTGTTAGGACAAGTGCAGGTTCCCATGTGCAGCAGAACTTCAGCACGTGTTTAAGCACACTGTTTCACTTCCCAGGAAAATGCCTCCCTGTGTCACTAAACTCATGGCTCTTGGATAGGCAGTTCTTTCCTAAAAGTGGTGGATGAATGGCAAAAACCACAACAAAGTCTGTTTTCTCTCTTTGCCAAGGTGAATGCACTGTTCTTTTCACATTTTAACTAATTCTTTGAAATTTCAGATGCTGTGCACCATTGCAATAAAAATGCCATAAACCAAGCTCATGGTGATTTTTTTCCCCTTTTAAAACAATTTTAAATAACTTTAAAACTGTTAACAAAAATGCTGATGGTATAAAAACTTAAAAATATAAGCATCAAAAGAGAACAAAAGCCAACTTTTGATGATTACTTCATCATCTAGAAATAACCATCCACTCTTAACTGTTGGGTTATTATATATTATTACTGAAAATTTAAACACTGATTCACAGTTCAGAGTAAGAATCTCAACAAACTGCTTTTCTGAAAGGTTTTTAGAGTGCTCAATGCACGTTTTCTAATATCATGCAGCTCTTCAGCATTCTGCCTGAGAATAGCTGGGTACGTACATGCATCAGGTAGGTTCATAAACAGCCAAAATCCAGACAGCGTTTAGGAGTCTTACTTCCTTGCTATAGTCTGGGCTGCCTTGGTTTTGCCTTCCTACTCCTGAGATAAAAGGACATTCTAGTCTCATTCTGGAGGTTGAGAAACTAAAATCCAGGTAGCCAATCACTACGTTAAAATTAGATGCCTTCACAGATAAGAAGACAAAGTAAGATATCACAAAACTATGTTTTTATTTCTAACTCTGTCAGCCAACTCCCCTGTTGGTTATAACAACAGTTAGACTCTTTGTTCATCTGAGGTGCTGGTTATTAATACTCCAGCCTATATTTGAAATTTATTGTCCATGTATTGGCCATTTACATTGTGTCAAGGCATTGCTTTTTGCAGATTGAAAAAATTGACTCTCCTTAGAAGTAAATAAACGTCTCCTAAGTCACACAGCTACGGAGGTGGTGTTACTGATCCAAACCTAGCCTACTTAGCGTGAATCATGGCAGTCGCATCCCATTGCGCTGGTAGTTAATTATTCTTTACCACGAAGACACTCCCTGTGCGTTTGTTTTAAGTCAGTTTCACCGAAGAACGTCCTCTGATGATGCAGTAAAAATTAACAGTGTTAAATCTCAGCCTTTAAGTACACGCCTTTTCAATACTCTGGGTGGTGAAATGGGAAGACTGCACAGATCATGTTTGTAGCAACTGAAGAATGGTGGTTTCCCCAAGGAAACGCACTTCTGTGGTCGAGTTATGAGCTTAAAACTAGCTGTTTTTTCCATGAAGCATCATTTTAAAAAAAACAAAGACTGAAGAGCTGTGGTTATTCAGATTTGGATTTTTGAAATTAAATGAAATAAGATTTGAAAATGAGCAAAGTGTGCCTGTCATGTCAAGGAAAACAACTGACAGTATTTGTTGCTGATCATAAAATTCAAGCGTACAGTTAACTGCGGAAAACTTTTATCCACCACCCTGAGATCAGGGCTGATATTAATGAATTTGATTTTTTTTGACATTGTATAATGATGTGTCAACATTTGAAAGAATGTAACTCAGTAAACCAATATTCACTGAGCTGTAACTCAGTGAATCAATATTTTCCAAACGATCAATGCATGATACCACAAAATCATGGAGGGGTAAAGATCTGCTCAAAGTGCAAAATAAAGATTTTAATCTAACTGTATAAAAATTCATTGATGTGATTTCAGATTTTACATTGCAACTAACCTTTAATTAAAAAACCACTTGTTGTGGAGGAGGGTATAGATCAGTGGTAGAGGGTAGGCCTAGCATGCATGAAGTCCTGGGTTCAATCCCCAGGACTTCCATTAAGTAAATAAATAAATAAACAAACAAAACAAACAAACAAACAAACCTAATACCTCTGAAATATATATATATATAAAACAAATAAATACATGTTTTAAAAAAAAGCTGTTGAGTTTTAGTATAATACCAAAGGAGAATATAAAAATGACCTGAAAAGTCTATTAAAATAATCTTCCCTTTTGCAACTAAATATCTATGTGTGGCTGGATTTTCTTCATATACATCAGCCAACACAACACACAGCAGATTGAATGTGGGAGCTGATAGGAGCTGTATTTTATAAAGATAGTCATTAGAGACTTGCAAAAATAGAAAACAGTGCCACTCTTTTCACTAAATTTTTTTTTGTTTTGTGAAAATACATTTTTCATAAAACATGTTATTTGTGTTAATATGTGATGAGTTTATTGTTATTTTCAAATGAGTTAATAAATATATTTAAATTTCTCAGTAAAATTCACACATGATAAATATTGATAAATTCAACCCACATAAATAAAAGCTCTTGGAAATTCTTAATAACTTTTAGGAGTGTAAGGAGAGTACGCGACCAAAAAGTTGGAGAATTGCTCTTCTGTAATATGTTTTGCCACAAAGTTTTGAGGTTCCATCAATGGATGTTCAGGTTGCTGTATTTGCCATTGCAAATAAAGAAGCAATAAATAGCCTTGTTTATATATCCTTACGTATTGACACTTTCATTTCAATGAGCTCACTTGCTCACTTGCTCTTCTATTTGGTTCTGAAGTAGTAGCATAACCCTTACTAAGAGTTTTTTGTAATTTCTGCCAGGAACAAAAATCATGTATCATGTTTGTACCAAATTTATTTGGTATAGTTACAAATATAGTCAGATAGCTTTGCCCTATATCTATTATCTATCTATCTACCTACCTACCTACCTTCATCATCATCATAATCTATCATTGTCTATCTATCTGTATCTATAACAGAGACCTAGTTACATTTTTATATTACCTTTTCATTTTATGTTACCTTTTATTTGCCATTTTTATTTGCCCCTGTGAATGAGACATTTCCCCCCTGTTCATTTCTTAACGTATGTTGCAATAAAAAGAAGAATCTTAATTTTTGTGCATTCATTTTTCCTCCAGCCACCTTGTGTTATTTTATGACATTTAATGGCTACTTTACAAGTCTATTTTGGTAGAGTAGGTATACAATATTATCATCTACTAGCAAAAAGGTCATTTTGTCTTTTCCAATATTCAAGCTGATTCCTTCATATTCTTGTCTTATTACATGGCTCATTATGCAGAAATTATTGATTGAGAGAGTAACATGCAGGCATTGTTGTGAGTGCTACAACTGTGAATAAAAGAAAGTGTATGGTCTCGTGGAAGACAGACATCAGCAAGAGAAATATTAGATAATGACTGATGCCCTGAGGAGAAAAGAACGTATGAAAAAGGGGACAGGGAGGCTTGGAGTGGGGGTGGGGATTGAATTTTAGACAGAATAGCTAGGGAAATCCTCACTGGGGAGGTGGCCACTATGAAAATTCTCAGTGATGATGGTGGTAGGCATGTCTTCCACATCACTAATTTTAATAGAAATGGTTTCAGCATTTCAGTACTGAATATGATGTTTACTATTCAAAATAAATAATGAACAGTCTTTACATTATATATGCTATGTGTATATGTATGTCTATAAATAATACTGCTGATCATCTAAAGAGTTTTCATCTATGACATATTGCTGAAGGACTTATTTTGTTATAAATGGCCACTAAATTTTATTAAATATCTATTTAAATTCATCATGCAATATTTTTTCTCTTTTGTTAGGTGAAGAATTCTATTGATAGCCTTCCTTATGTTGAAATTTCTCTACTTTCTCAGAAAAATCTATTTGATCATGATGTAACAGCTATTCAATACTCAGAACTATTTGTTAACTTGATAATATTTTATTTAGAATTTTAAAATCTGTATTCATAAGTAAAATTGATCTCTCTCAATGAAGATTGATACAGCTTCATAAAACAAAAGCATTGTCTATTCTTTAGAAATTTGGAAGAAAAAAGCTATAATACACTTACAATTAAGTGCATAATTTTAAATTGAATTTTGGCTTATTTGTAACCCATGAATTCCTGGAACAAACTCAGTTATTAACATTGCTTTTTATGTATCATTGCAATTGATTGCCTAAAATTTTGCTTAGTACTTTTGCATGTATTTTCATTAAAAAACTTGTATTTGGCCTATAGTTTCCTTTTTCTGTAATACCTTAGGTGGTTTTGATATCAGGGTTGTTAGCCCTATAAAATGAGCTGGAAAAATTCCTTCCTTTCTTCTCTTCCTTCCTAGCTTCCTTCCTTCCTTCCTTCCTTTTCTAAACTCTGAATGTTTAAGATTGGTTTTATTTTTCTTCAAATGTTCAGAGGTTTCAGTAGTGAAGTCTTCAAGACTTGGTAGAAAGATTTTAAAATTCAGATTCCATTTATTTTACAAGTGTAGGAATATTAAGATTTTTATAATTTTTCCTGAATCGATTTAGTGATTGTGTTTTTCAAGGGACTTGTCCGTGTCATCTAAGTTGTTGAGTTGATTGGCATAAATTCTTCATAATATCCTCTTACCTTTTTACTGGGAGGGGGGGACTTTTTACACAATAAATCTTTATTTTTCCAGTCTCCTTTATAGTTACTGATCTTTTCAGGTAGTCTATCATTTTGAGGGTTAATTTAGATAGTTATTTACTACTCAGAATCTCTTCTAGATTTTCATATTTGCATGATGGCAACCATAGGCTTTCCTTTATAGTATGTGTCCTTGGTTACAAGAGCTGCTATTTAACACTTAAAAATTCTGATCATATTATTGACATTTATTCATATTTCAATGTATAGACTCTGTATCTAGTGCAAGAACCACTACTCACCACTGTTTTCTCTTTCTTACTTACACGTAGTTTCTAATCAATAAGTATATTTTGGTTGAATGAATAAAATAATCATTTTTTTCTATATTATATATTTATGTTCTATGTCTCCCTTCACCAAGCTTGCTGATGGTTGAGGGGAGAAGTTTATTTTTATTTTAGTCTTTTGAAATAAAATATTTTATTTTTTAACTAGATTTAAAATCTTATTCCATTTGTTTCATTTTTTTTGGTCTATGTAAGTGTTCCCTTTATTTGTTTTCTTTATTTTTAAGTGCTTTCTTAATTACTAATGTTCTTTACTTTC